CATAACAAATGAAGAGCTTTGCATTAAAAAAAGACTTCATTATTTCAGTATCTCTTTGTTTGCTTGTTTAATCATCCCCTGGGACAATCTGTACTGTTAAGAAACGTGTAGAAAACAGTCATCAGTTTTTGTTGTTGTTCAATTAGTGCTATACTCAGTGTTTGAGCTCATGCAAGTGTCCTTTGGGGAAACGTCCTGCGTGCCATTAGCACTATTCTTAATGAGGGAAAGCATGAAACTCCTTTAGTGCTCTGCCAGAATTGTTTTATCTTCAAGTCAAAAGAACAACTGCTTGGAGTAACCCCAAAAAAAGCATTTAACAATTACAAGTGGCAAACAATATTCCCAAGCATTATACTCATAGCCTCTTCTATTTATAGGCTAACAGTTATTATACTGAATAAAATATGTATTAGGCAGCTTTATTATGCAGACAGTCATGATTCCCCGATTAAGGCTGCTACGACGGTTTCCATGCTAAGCCCAGTTTTGAACCCTTTTACTCTTTCTGTGAGAGGCAGGGTGGGGAACAGGAGGATGTTTCATGTTTGGTTTCAAGACAAAGGAGAATATTTTTAGGAAGTTTGAGGTTAATTAGACATGCTGCTTTTGAGATATGGGACATAGGCGTTTCTTTATTCTTTTTTGAAGAAAAAAGCAGTTTAATGGCAATGTTTTGGTTCATAAAGAGCTTTTTAACTAGTTCTCCAGAATTTCTTTAAAATACAAAATCAGAATTGAAAACTAGGTGAACGCAAGGTCAAGAATTACAGCTCTAAGAAATATATAAAGGCAAAAGATCTAGCACTTTTGTTAGCAACATTTATTTTCAAAAAAAGCTGGCAAACTTTTCCCACTAAAACAAAAAAAAACAGAAAAAAAACAAAACAAAACAAAACAAAAAAAAACAAAAAAAAAAAGCAAAGCAAAAATTAAATAACACTAGACTCAAAACCAAAACTAAAAGCAACATTTTTAACTCTTACCACTGTTTCCTTCCCAATTACGGTCCTTCTTAAACAGTGTGGGGCAGGGGAATAAAGCATTCCCTCTCACAGCTGCTTTTCATCTAACTCTCCCCATTCTTCATGTTTCTAGGTTTTCTATGTCAGCTTCATAATCCTGACATGGAGCATCTTCACATCTCTGACACCTCTCAATCCTAGCTTCAGCACAACTGAGATCTACAGGTCTTTAAACCTGCATATGCCTGGTTTTGCCATCCCAATGACTAACTGGACAGCAGAGGATTTAATGAACAAGGTAAGAGTAAAGTTCTGGCTAAAGGTTGGCATTTCATTTTTGTTACACACATGAGTTAATTTTAACAATGCCTAAAAGCATCCCCTGTCTTCTCAGAGGCACATGCATATATTCCAACACATGCCCTGATAAAACATGCACCATGGGCACCAGCTGGCACAAGCTTCCAGCACAGAGGAGTATATGTAGAAGAGCTAGAATTTAAGTAGACACTGTGGATGACCTACAGAAATAGAATGAAGGCAACTTATTTCAGCTGGATTTTATAAACAGTCATCTTAAGGAGGCACAGACTACCTAACTGCAGAAACAACAGGAAGATCTCATGGCCAAGCAGTATTATGCAACTGGTAAAGTACACAGACTTGCTACTTACATCACCTGAAGAGTGTAAAAAAGTAAAAGTACAGCCATTTCCAGTTCTAACTCCAGAAATGCAATGGGGGATTATGTAGTTCTATCTTTTCGTTCTGTCCAAAAACCTGCAAAGTTCAGATATCTGTTTGAGAAACTGCACACCTGACTGCTGGAAAGATAGCAGAGTCTACTTCTCCTCCCTTTCATCATTCAGCATATTAATATCTTTTTGCCTTCGTTTCTTTTTACAAAGAGAGGTCAATAAGATTCATTCTCTTAAGTTTTCTTAAAACTGCAGTAGGAAAATTCTTTAATTCTATGATAATCTCACTCCAAGTCCCACATAACTGTTAGGGAAGTGCTACTGCATATGTAACTGAGCAGTTCTGGGTGTCACAATCTAAGAAGAATGTGGAAGTCCTTGAATGCATCCAAAGGAGGGTAATAAAGCTGGTGAAATGGTTGGAAGCAACATCCTATGAGGAACAGTTAAGACTTTGGATTTGTCTAGTTTGGAGAGGACAAGGCTGAAGGGCAACCTCACTGCTCTCTACAGCCACCTGAGAAGAGGAAGTGAAGAAGGAGGTGCTGATCTCCTCTCCCTGGTAATTCAGTGATAGGATGTGTGGGAATGGATATAAACTGCATTCACCAGGGGCATTTCTTTACCAAGAGGGTGATCAAACACAGGAACAGGCTTGCTAGAGAAGTGGTCAATGTCCCAGCCTGTCAGTGTTTAAAACAAGCATTTGGACAATGCCCTTAACAACATGCTTTAAATTGTGGTCAGCCCTGGACTGGTCAGGCAGTTGAACTGGATGATGATTGTAGGTCCCTTCTATCTGAATCTGTCTATTCCACTCTAAAAGCTGTGTAGCTGTAGAAGCACTAAGTAATCAGACATGCAGTAGGCCTCTAACTTCCTCTACTAACTACTTCTACGATTAGCCTCCTCGATAGTAACTCATCCTGCTCTACAATGGACACATACATCTTAGTCATTTTAAGAGGCTGAGATTTACAACACTGGACAAAAAGTTTTAAAAATGTTGAATTGTTTCTTATAGTGTATTTCCAATTCTCTAAAGAGTTTATTCAGGTCCATTCTGGTATTAACAAGTACCTTTATGCAAGTCAGAAAGAGATTATGCAGGAGAATCAGTGTAGCTGACCATGTATGAGTATTTAGCAAATACACAAAGGAAACCTGAATATAAATCTTTTTCCTTAATTTCTTTATTTTTGGGTTGCTATGGCTAGCTGAAGTTTACATATCTTTCATATAAAAAAAGAAATCTAACTTTTGATGTTTGAAAATGTGTATTTTTAAGGAACAAAACTTGTACTTTTTTTTTTTTTTTTTTTACCCAGAGGAGAGAATCTGGAAGCAGAAAACTAGGGAGAGGGACTCTTTGACAGGAACTGCAGTGGTAGGACAAGGGGTAATGGATTCAAATTGAAGGAGGGGAAGTTTAGGCAAGATATGAGGAAAAAGTTTTTTTCCTGTGAGAGTGGTGAGACACTGGCACAGGTTGCCCAGGGAGGTAGTAGGTGCCCCAACCCTGGCAATGTTCAAAGCCAGGTTGGATGAAGCATTGAGGGGGTTGGGACTAGATGATGTGTAAGGTCCATTTCAATCCCTAAAATTCTATGAGTCTGTAAGAGCACAGGTAGAGGCAGAAGTTATCACACAGTAAGTTACCACGTCTGCTATGCAGGTGTATTCTGTCACATCTGAGATGAATGCAAGCTAATTCCAGGCAAGCTGCCCCCTCAGTAAAACCAAAATCCTGGAATTTTCCCACACAAACCCACATATGAAAAAAGACAGACAATTTGTGTGACTCAGCTGGTGCAGGTAACTGGTTACCCTGTAAGAATTTTGCTCACATGGCTGACAGTTTGCAACATGCAGTCTCACAAAGATTCAGGAGGTAGCACACCTCAAACATAGATAGCATGACATGACTCACACAGGCCTGCAGACTTAAGGGGTTATTCAGACAAAGTTTACAAGTCTCAGTGAAGCTTTCAAAACCTTTTGTTCATAAAATCAAAAGCAAGGATTCTCAGCTTTTATAAGCTGTACTTAAAATGAAAATCAAACCCAATTTTCAGCATGTCAAGATACTGACAATACACTTGGACTAGTCTTGCTCACAGTTTGAGATCATCTGTAGTGACAGCATTTTGAATTCTCTCCTTCTTTTCATTGTCTCACTGCGGTACTAAGCTATAAAATCACAGCAGGATGCATACAGATTCAGTGGTTCTTTAAGAAAAACTACTTATATTTAATTTGAACAACCCAGTGCACCACAGGTAAGAGGACTGTGGAATTAATTAGACATTGAAGGCTATCAGGGCAAGCTCCTTCTGGTTCCAAATTGCTAAACAGAGCTTTCACTCGAGAGCTGTCTCACTCTTGCCAGACTTAAGTCTGTATAAGACATGAGTATAAGTTCACCTGTGCACTGTTTGTCTCCTAGAGTACATACATGTATTTGTTGTTGGTTTATCAAATCAATTTCATGTACTTTCTAAAACAATTAAATAATTCAGGGCAAATCTTTAGCTTTCCTCAGCTGAAGAAGCCTTGCCTAAACAGGGCAATATATACACGATTCCAAATATGTTTAAAACAGGATTGATGAGCACGAGACACTTTTATGCCATAACCAAGATGTCAAAGAAGCAGTTACATATTTCACATGTGTTGCCACAAATAAGGCATAAAAATTTTAGGTAAGATTCAGATTATCAGCAAAGATTTAGCAAAGAAATGCAATTTGACAGCAAGTCATGAAAGCACAGGGAACTTAATATCTCAAGAATGTTAGTAAAGACTGCTGTTTATAGACAGGAGCAGAAAAAGGTGCGACTGAAACATACAAACTGATTTAATGCTTCTAACACAGAGGCAGAAGCACACTGAGTCCTTAGAAAGAAATAAAAGATTTTAATTGATGAACTTTATCAACTAAAAATGGGATGATTTCACAAGACAGTTGCTCCCACTCTACTCCCAGAAATTATAACCCTTCAGGTGGGGTAAATGATTGTATTACACATACTCCTCTCGGTTAAAGATCAGACAGACATTCATTAGAAACTCAGTTTATGCCAGGGTCCAAACTTTTCCAGTTGCAGTCTCCTATTTAAATCTTCCTTTAACTACACTGATAAGAAGACTGTAGGACAATAGCCTCTCTGATACCAGAGCTAACTTCGCTAATAACAAAGATTAATCTGAGTCCTGATTTATAACTGCAGAAATGTAACAAATTCCAACCTGCAGAATGAAGAGAAGCCACTGCTACCTAAAGAGAAACTGAGCTTAGTTCAAAATAGCACACTTCCCCTATTTGAAAATAATTTACCTGGAGATATAGCTCTGTGGAACTGATACATGTCTTCTCCAATCAGTTCTTGTGCAACCTGCTTTATCTTCCATCGGACAGCATCCAGCTTGACTTCAGATTCATTTAGAATTTCTTCCCCATTGGGAGCACTGCAACCATAAAACAGAAACTGAATGAGCAGTTTTCAGAACATAAGCAAAGAGTTAAAAAACACTGCACATTTTCTTTTACTAATCAATACATTTTTAGTGGCTTCAAGAAAAAGCAAAGCTGATACCAGAATGAGAAACAGTTTAGCTTTCATTGATACCTATTGCAGGTTCCGAAATTCTGTAGATTCTTAACACAAAAATAATCAACCAGCCAAAAAGAGCTCTGGTAGCATGATGCTAATTCCAGGCCAGAACTGTAATTACTGCTTAAGTAAGAAAAATGAGAAACACGTGCAAAGGCTTCAAAAATATTCCTGAAAACTAGCAGTGCTTACACAAGTCCTTCAAACTCTTAAAAGAAAAACAAAACTATTTTGCAATACTTGACAGTATTGCAAAATACAATACATGATCTACTCCACATGTGATTTTTTTAAGGAAGTAGTTATGGACTGTGCTGTTCAGGAACAGCTGAAATATCTGATTCACAACCACAATATGTATTTGGCATTTAAAGTTTGGGTTATCTAATTTCCTTTAAGCTTCCCCCTCCCCCACTCTCAAATAATCTATATGGTATATTACTTTGCAGTCTGTTTAAGGAACTACAGACTGGTCTCAAGTAAACATTTAAAAGCAAACAGTGAGGTTTACTGAAATTAAAGCCACAATAACTGCAAAAAGCAAAGGAGAAGAAAATACAGAATGCAGCAC